GCGCAAGGCTCCAAACAACAACACGCCTGTCGACACATTTCAGGTCCGCCTACTACCAACCGCTACCTATTCCTGACTATCCCACTACAAATAGACAACACCGTACATCCCGTCCTTCATTAGGTACTCCGTCTCTTGCAGCCTTTTTTTTCTGCACCTTCTATCGGCCCCCCCCCCCAAAAGCGCAAAGCTCCGCAGTCGCACCTGCCCAGCCAGCTCCAGAGCCTCGTGTACAGCGAACCCGGGCACCTCAGTTTGGTGCAACAACATGTTACCTAACCCGACGCGCCAACAAACCCCACTGGGGCCTGCAGTCAAACCTCTCCACCACAACATCCTCGCAGTCACTGATTTCTGGTCGCTGCTGTTCTTCTCTATGATGGCGCTGGACTGACGACCAATATTTTTATTTGCTGTCGTGGAGGTGTGCCATTGATCATGGCTGATATCGACAAGGCTGGTTTTCGCAAATCGATTCGCCATGTCTGCATGCTCGGTGCACCGCTGTAGGTGTCCAGCGAGCCGCCGGCGACTTGGGTCGCTGTTCTTCAGCTACGCGATGCAGCTATCTCGAAGGCCCTTTAGGTACTTCGGGGGCGCTCTTCCAGCGTTTGGCGGAAGATCGAGTGGTCTTACGCGAGGCCTTCCACTGTCCAATTGGGGCTCGCTGTTGTCTTTGAGACACCGCAGCGCTGTCCTCCCGTCCCCTCCCAAAGCGACAGGGGGTCTTCGTCAGCACCGCCCAAAAGCCGGGGTGATTTTTTTCTTTGCTGATTGATTTTGAAGCTGCTGTGGAGCGCCCCCCCCCCGGGTCTCTCTGATTTTCTCTGCCCAGGCCCGCCCAAGCTTCTCTTCTTCAGTTCTTCACAGCCTGAGGTGATCGCTTTCCCCCTCACTTCCCATTCTTCGAACCAGCTTCTGTCGCAACGGTTTGCTTCTCTTGGTTAGGGGCATTATACACCACTATTGCACCAGGAATTTGGGGAACCTTTTATTTCTCTGCTATAGCCTTCCGCCACTGGCATGGCACAGAGTCTCTGGAGAGGAGCATACAGCAGCTTAGGCCGACACAGTCTGTCAGCTCTTCATCTCAGCCTATAGCCTCGCACTTTGCTTCCTGCTCTGAAATGATATATGATTTTCTAAGTTCTTTCCATGCCAGCATCAATCTTCGTCAAAGGAAGGCGTACCTAGAGCACTACACTGACGCGCTATCCAAAAGCACTATTTTATGTAAATTATGCAACATGTCCTCGAAATACAAATTGAAGACTACGGGACTTGACTTGATACCGTTAACGAAGCCCAACCCGTTGGAAACGCATTGTCGGGGCAAGACGACCCAAGCCGACCCAGGACAGGCGAGCTCGTTGCGCGACAGTTGGATCATATCGATCGAACAAGACGCCGAGTTGCAGCTGGCAGCGACATCACTGTTGCCCTGCCGCACCTCGCTCGCCGGCGGTGTGCTCGTCACATTCATTCATTCACGCTTTTCTGCTTCTGAACTTCTTCTCGAGGTCTAGACGTTCTGAATTTTTCATAGCGCGGGAATGCTGAGACGGGCATAGGCGGCGCGGACGGCCGGATGGCCAGCCCCGCCTGAACTTCCGCCGCTTTCTCGTCGACATCCACAGCACCAACGCGCCAGCCACACCCCGCTGATGCCATTGCGCGTTTGATTCCGACTCAGTCTAGGTACTGAACAGCGCTCTCTTTCGTGTCAGTCTCGAGCATAGTGTAGATGAACAAAAGAAGCCATCTCCAGAGTGTCGTGTCCCGGGTCCCAAAGCAAGATCTTGGCTTCGGTTGGGCTCAAGCGCCCAGTCTGTGATGGGTACGAGGGTACCAACCCGATGACGATGACGCTGCTACCGTTTACCTCTCCGTGAGCTATCGACCCCACCCCGCTTGCCAGAGGGCAACCCCGCTCCGCCAGTCAACCCCTCCCTGTGCCCCGCGAACGACGCAAGCTGAATGGTTGGCTTGGCAGTGTTTCCGATTGCCTGAAACTCGGGTTTTTGGCTGTGATATGGCATGGCCGATGCAATGGTGTGAGCCGCGCTGATGTTCAAGCAGCCCGAAGCAGGATATGAGCTCCTGCTTTGTTTCCAAGTTGATAATGGAGGGTGATGCTCAAGTTTATATTTAGGGAATTGGTATCCTCATTCTCGTCCCCCTCTCTCTCCCTCTCCCTCTCTCTCTCTCTCTCTCTCTCTCTCTCTCTCATGCTGACCCTCTTTCTTGCCACACCTCCAACAAATAGAGCTTATCCATCCCATCTCCAAAGCCCGAACCCACCGAGCTGAGCTCACCGGCAAACAGGGGTTTTTGTTTTCCTGTCTTGCTCTCTGCGAGCTTCTGCCCCGCACTTGGTTCCCTCTTCTTCCAAGACTTTTGAAATATCTCGCCCATTGATACCCTCTACCTAAAACTCATCTTACACCCAACTACCGTTGTTATTTTCTGCCACTTTAAACTACTACAAAGCATCATAGCGATAAAGCAATTCATATTCAGCCATGGCTTACTCAAGGGAGTACCCGACCATCTTGCTCGGGGTCATCCTCCTGTTTTGGTTTGTGAAGCCCACCCTCGCCTTCGGCGCTGGTAACATTGCCGGGATTTCTAGCATCGAGGGCCAGAACTGTGAGTTGATTCCTCCTACCATTTACGGCACATCACCAGGCTGATCGGGCGCTTTGTCACAATCACAGGGCGCCACGGTGACATCGAAGATGCCCTCCTCAAAGTCATGATGGCCCGCGCCGTCGGCGGCAAGAGATTCGACAAGCTGATGGTCTCCCGCGTCTACTTTGGCAACTGGCTCCGCGACTACTCCCAAGCCATCGACGTCGGCACCGTCAAGAGCGTCTCTGCCGAGGCCATCAGGCTCCTTCTCTGCGTGCTCGGATTCATTACTTTCGGCTACGGCAGCAAGGAGTTCGAGGTGACGGCCGACCGTCTGGGGTGCTACCGTCCCGAGGACCACATCGACAACCCAAAGGACTATGCCGAGAACGAGGACGCCAGGCAGTACCACCGCGCTCTTCGCGGCCCGGTCAACGAGGAGGTCGAGCTGGCGATCGACCCCGAGACGGGCATGAAGAATTACATTGCTAATGAGAACATCGGGATCATGACGTCGGCTGCGCACTGCAGGAAGCTGTTCACGGATGCGATTGAGCTTGGGAGGAGGTATGGGAGGAGTGGGAACAAGGATGATTTGTATGAGTGCCTGAGGTTGATCGGAACTGGGTTGCACTGTCTCGAGGGCATGTTTCTCTCATCGTTATATCTTACAGGACAAGGTTCGAAACTAACATGAATGCAGATTACTTCGCCCACAGCAACTACATCGAACTCGCCCTCATCGAAATGGGCGAGCAAGACATCTTCCCCCACGTGGGCCGCAACACAAAGATCTCCCTCGAGGGCGCCAACGACGAAGTCTACCCCATCGTCACCGGCACCTTTGGCGGCGTCGACTTCTTGCACTCGGTCACGGGCGAGGTCTCGGACAAGCTCATCCAGAGTGAAATCCAAGACCTGGAGAACACGCTCGAGCAGTCCAAAAACTCGGACCTGTCCTACCTCCGCGAGCTCCTCGACAAGATCCCCGACGGGCTCATCGGCGGCGACAAGAAGAACAAGGTCAACGAGATCCAGGACAATGCCAACGCCGCCCAGATGGAGCAGACGAGCATCTCGCCCAAGGAGACGGAGGAGTTTACCCGCCAGGTCCAGGACATCTTCCGGCAGATCATGCCCGCGATCGAGTATCACGACGACTTGCTCAAGAGCATCTCGGAGGCGGTGTCTAGGATTCCGATTCTCCCCAAGATTATCGAGCAGCTCGAGGAGCAGCTCTCGTTGTTTGTGTTTCAGGTCATCGCCCCGTTTGTGATTCCGGTTATCGAGCAGATCAAGAACGAGCTCGCGACGGGCGCGACGGAGATTATCGAGTCGAGCAAGAACGAGCAGCACATTGTTTTCGAGGACGATGACGCTTCTGATCCTACGCACTCGATGCTGTCGAAGGATCATTTTACGAACATTCTCAACGAGGTTGCTGGGCGGGCGGCGTCGAAGGTTGTTTCCTGGTCTGTGCCGCAGCTCATGGAGGCTATCGATGACGAGGGGGTGGATGTCGATCGGGTTCTCAACAAGATTATCTATGGTGTGCTCCACCACCCTGCGCAGCGGAACACGGGGCCTGACGGGGCTGATGAGGGCCGGAGGCTGATTTATGGGATTGTGGAGGAGTGGTGGAATGATATGGGGCGGGGTCAGCAGGAGGATTATAGGCGGAAGCTGAGCAGGGAGGGGGTGGAGAATGGGGAGAATCATAGGGAGGGGGAGAAGGATTGCGGGCATGGGTGTGGGGGGGGCGGGTTGAAGGTGAAGAAGAATTATGCTAATGCTGCGCCGGAGACGATGGAGGATCGGATTGCCGAGGCGGCGGCCGGGCATATCGTTGCGGGGGTGAAGCAGAGCTTTAAGCAGGCGGCCGAGAATGCGGGGACTGGGGAGGGGGGTGGAGGGTTGGGGGGTTTCTTGAGTAGTGTGGCGGGCAATATTTTTAACTCTGCTAGGCAGGAGAGGGAGAGGGAGAGGAGTGAGCAGCAGGAGGAGACGCCTAGCTATGGGGGTGGTGGGTATAGGAGACAGGAGGAGGAGGAGACGCCTAGCTACGGCGGCGGCGGTGGTTATGGTGAGGCTGCCAGCTACGGCCGTCGTGAGGAGGAAAGCTCCGGTTATGGCGGTGGCTACGGCCGTCGTGAGGAGGAGAGCTCTGGATACGGCGGTAGCTACGGTCGTCGTGAGGAGGAGAGCTCTGGATACGGCGGTGGCTATGGTCGTCGTGAGGAGGAGAGTTCAGGTTATGGCGGCGGCTATGGCCGTCGTGAAGAGGAAAGCTCTGGTGGCTATGGCGGTGGCGAAGCTGCTAGCTACGGTCGTGGTGACTATGGCGGCTACGGTGAATCTAACACCTACAGTGGTTACGGTCGCCGGAGAGATGACGACGAGGAGGAGGATGAGGGACGTCGCCGGTGGTAAACACTGGGCGGGTTTGTCTCGGGCATTCTTGGCTGACATGGTGGAATCAGAAGATGAGGCACTGGGTTTGTGATGGGTGAAATGGCTAGATGAGTTATATGATATCAAAAGACTTTTGCGTGTTGTATCCCGAACGCTGTGAGATGATTGCTGGCCGTGAATAATCATCTCCCCTTTTTAACCACGGGCCTCTGCTTACCCTTCCCCGTCCTCTCAACATTCAAGGAGTCCAAGTAGGAACCGTACTCGGCCCAGTAGGCGTCTGATCAATAACATCCCTCTGCCTCACACACTGGCTCTTGGCCGTAATCGCCGCCGGGCAGGCAACCTGTCTGAACCTCACATCAGGGTTATCCGCCCCCATAAACCAGTCAAACCTCCAATTACACCCCGCCTTGAGCTTGTCCGGAAAACTCTCGCAAGCACTCTTGCTCCCCACACCGCCATACCTCTCCCCCCAACCATTAGGCGGCGCACCATACTGCTGGGTGCACGCATTAAAGATCCCGACACCACCCCCCGGCATGGCAATGTCAAAGTGGTTGTTTCCCAGGTCGCCGCCGGTGTTGGTGGCCTGGACGATCATCTTCTTGCCCGAGACGGGGCCGGAGGTGAAGGTGAGCTCGTAGCAGGAGCAGCACCAGGAGGCCTCGTTGCTGCCGGCGATGTTGACGGCCGCCCAGCCGTAGGCGACGGTCTCGTTGACCGCCCACGGGGATTGGTTGCTGCACATGAAGGCTGACCCGCCCGAGTCGCACCCGGAGCGGGTGGACCCGCGGTCGTTGAGGGGGTTGTCGTTGCGGTCGCAGGTCAGGACGGGGGTGGAGGCGGTTGACTTGCCGGGCCAGGCGCAGGAGGGCTTGCAGCAGTCCCAGTAGCGGGTTGTTTTGCCTGCACCTTGGGCTCCCTGGGCGGAGGCGAAGCCGCCGAAGGCCAGGATTGTGAGGGCGAGTTGCATGACTGGGTTGCAGATAGGGGTAGACCGTTGCAAGTAAACAAAGCTGGAGGTGACAAGGCAACCACAGAAGAACAAGACAAAACACAGTTCCCAGGGAGGAGGCGAGAAAATATATACAACAAGATCAACACGGAGCCCAACCCCGGATCGTCACCTCTATATTGCCCTCCCCGCAAATATGCCATCAACAAATACAACAGTCGATCCCACCAATCGACCCCCATCCCCCTAGGTACTCATCTCCAGCATCACAGACACATTGTAAGGCTGCTCAATTGTCCCAGGTAATACCCGTCCATCCAAATTGCGTGATTACTTGTCCCGGGAATTTATTCCACCCCATCGTCCCTGGCCAATATGAGGCGTCCTATGACGGAGAAGAAGATAGACAACGGCAATGGCTTCCGAGATGGATATAGTACATAGATGAACATGTCATGTCAGTTACATATTCCCCTGTTTCTGGAATTTCTGGAGGTAGGTACAGAGGCGTGAGAGATATGCGATCGGCGTGGCTCGGGGAGGCGGGTGGTATATTAACCGCTGCAAGCTTGCTTGGCCCCTTGTTGTATGGCCCCCGCACTGGCAGGGAGATAAATAGGGGTTCGTCATCGTTGTCGTAGCTGCAGGCTGACCCCCTTATGCAAGATCTAGATAAGAGAGAGAGAGAGAGAGAAAGAGAGAGAGAGAGAGAGAGAGAGAGAGAGAGAGAGAGAGAGAGAGAGAGAGAGAGAGAGAGAGAGAGTGTGTGTGTGAATGAGCTAGTTAGTTAGTTAAGATGAGCTGTTTGTTTCCAAGCTTTTTGGCTGTGAAATATCATGAGAGCCTTTTTACAGAATGAGGTGTTAGATAACAATTCATTTTTATTTATCATTCAACCAGGTGGTGGAGCTTCATCTTGCCATGCATCTCTGACGGAGTGGTGCTTTTGTCTGTCTGTCTGCTTTAAGCCAAAACAAAAAAAGTCAAAAACATTCTAACAAGTTCCAAAGTAGCAAAGTAAGCCAACTCGCTGTTGTTTCTTCACCCCAGTCATAACCCACCCCATCACGGTAACCTCAACTCCTCCCTCCCCTCCACCTCAACACTATACTCCTTATACCCCCACAAATACCTCACCCTCAACACCTTCCCTTGCTGCCCCGCCATCGGGTTCGGATCCCAAAACCCAAGCAACTTCCCCTTCTTCACCCCCCTCGGAATATGCAACCGTCCCCAATCATCCACCAACGCCGCCAGCGCAATCGTCACATCCGCCACCTCCTCCGGCGGCGCATTCCTAACCCCGTACTTCGCCGACAAAATCACCAACCCCCCCTTTTGTCGTTCTTCCCTCTGCCTCCCCTCCGCTCCCGTGGCCAGAATAACAGTCAGCTCATCCGCCTCGGTCCTCCTCTTATTAATATACTGCCTCAGCGCCGCAGGATTGATCCCCGGCCCCCTCGCCTTCGCCACCGCCCTCCTCTGCCTCTGTCTCTGCTTATAAAGCTCACACGCCGCCAAAGCAGCAAACGGAAACACGGTACTCCAAAACAGGACCTTCATCCCCAGCTTCGACCTCCCCGCCCCGCTCGCCATGAGAAAAGGCAGCGAGAACCTCTGCCCGAGCCTGGACCAGTAGAGCGAAAGATGAAGATTGAACGGCGACAGCCCGACCTCCAACCCTGCTTTGCTGAACCGACCAAACGACTTTAGCGCTCGGAACGCGAGGTAAAAGTCCTTTTGGACGGTGCCCGCTAGCTCGACCTCCCCGCGGATGCCGCCCTTTGCTCTGCCGGGGAGGTAAGAGGAAAAAAAATCCCTGCCGTAGCGGAGGTAGGCTGCTATGTTCCCCGGGGTGAAGCCGGTGGAAATTGTCCAGCTGCCGGGTTTGTTCTCGTCGAGGTCGGCGTCGAGGACGGAGAGGCCGCGGGCCGAGGGTCTGGTGAGGGATTTGCCTTGGTGGATTCCGAGGTCGGGCTGGGCGAAGGAGTAGCCTACTTCTAGGGTTGGGGGGTTGGTGAAGGAGGCTAGCGAGCGGGAGCCAAAGGTCCGGGAGAAGTGCGTCATGTCGGCGCATTCTTTTGGCCGTGACGATGCGAGGTTGAGGAGGGAGAAGTCGCCCGAGTCGGCGATGAGGAAGGCGGTTCCGTTCGAGTCTGCGCCGACTCGCTTGTGGGCGGCGAGGCCAAAGTTGGTGATGTTGTGGGACCAGATTTTGGAGGCGAAGAGCTCCACGTTGATGGGGGCTGTTGGGTCGTGGAGGAGGGGGATGGTGTGGCCTACTCGGAGGGAGGTTGTGGGGTGAGGGAGGGGGGATACGTCTGTCTCGAGGATGAGGTCAGGGATTTGAGGGTGCTGGGGGGTCCTCGGGTCGCGCCAGGCCATCTCTTGGCGGAAGGAGAGGTTCAAGGCTGGCAGGAAACGGGAGGATAGAAGCTGGTCAAGACGGCGGCGGCTGTGAATGGATGGGCCTGGGGGCTGGTAGTGGTCCAGAACCAATGGGGCGAGTCTGATAGGGTCATCGAGGAGACCGTGGACTGAGCCGGTGATGGTGAGGGTTGGGTCAGTGAACCGGATGGGAGGCTTGGTTGATGCCTTCTTTTGCTGCTGCTGCTCCGGAAGAGGTGCCTTCTTTTCTCCCTCTTCTGAATCTTCAAAGAAGTCTTTCAAGACCTTCACAAGAGTTACTGAGGCTTCCTCGAATGGCTCTTTGAATCCTGGCAAGGCCACGGTGGCAGACTTTTGCAGCGAGAAATCCAGCACTTCCACTCCAGGGTTTCCACGCTTCGCAAGTTCCTCAGAAGACGCAAGTAGAGGCGAAGCATTCACCCTGAATCCCAAGTCTGTAGTCGCCCGGGCATCCCGGCGAGTGAGGAGGATATACTGATCTTGGATCTTGCTCTCATAAGTGGTCTGCTTCTCTGCACCAAGAAGGGCAACATCAAGCTCGGCCTCGTCATCCTCCGAGTCATACCCCTCGATGGTCGACAAGTCGTAACCAATTCTTCGTGATGGGTCGGCCAAGACTTCATAAGCCGCTTGAACCATCCCCAGATAGAAACCTGCCGGGCTCTGCAAAGGTCCTGACTGCCTCTCCACAGCAAGCACTTGAACGAGGCGGTTATAGGCAGCCTGAACCTCCTCTCGCCTTAGTGCCGGCCCCTTCTTGGGAAGACACATAAGCTCATAGTAGCTTCTGTCCAGAGGGCCGTCTGCGAATAGCTTCCTGATGACCTCTCGCTCGGCGGCAACCTTTTCATCATCATCCTGGTCCTCTCCGCCCAAGTGCTCAGACGCCAGGGTCGAACCCACAAAGGAGGAAGCGTCGTCAAAATCAAACTCTAGCACGCTCCTGGTTGCTGCAAAGTGTTCACGAAGGGAATAGCGATCTGTTTCAGCAGCAGGTGGGCGCAGCGACTGGCGATCAGCCTCGGCTGGACGTGCCGCCCTCTGGGAGCCATGGTTAGCCGGGGCTCTGGATCGCTGGGAGCGGATAGAACGCGTGTCCTCGTAGGTGGAGGGAGGTCTATTCGTCCTTCGCGACATGATGTTAGAGCCGAGAGTGACGACGCCGAGAAGAAACCAAAAGAGGCGTGTTGAAAGAAGACAAAAAGAATGGTTCGAGAATATCCCTTGATAGAGAATCGGGTTAGCTATCGCGGGGCTCAATGCAGGACGATGAGTGGTTCACCGCCGCCTGATGGGTAGCGGATAGGTGCCGAGCCTTCTGATGCGACATGGCGACAGGGGGGCTCGGCTGCTAGCTCGTTTGAGGAACTACAATAAAAGAAGCCGACGTGCCACATGCCAGTCAGGTATTCAAGAATCAAGATAGAGAGCAGCTTTTTCATTACGAGATATATCGGGGACATATTTCCAGCTGCCCAGAAGTGCTAAAGAAACGGACGCGTAAGGTTCACTCCCGGCGGGCACCTGTAGTTGGCCAGTTCTCACAGGACCAAGATGCTAACAGTTGTTAAAAATGGCAAGATGGAGAATAGGGCTTAAACTGCGCCTCAACCGGACGCCTTTCCACCTGGAAGGGAGACACCAGAGGAGACACTATACAGGATACAAGTAGCACACAACTCGGTGCAGATCTCACATTTTGAAGTTGTACAACAGAGAGACGGGGAAGAAAAAGAAAAAAAGGACCTGACCTGAAAGCGGCAGGCAACTGGAAGGCAAGGCAAGGTCACCGCGATAAGCACCCTTATCGGCTGCAAGCAACTGGACTGGTCTGGGTGGGTTGCCAGGCAAGGCATCCCTGCAAAGCTACGCTAAACGGCAAGCGCAGCGAAACGCGCGCCTGGTCAAAGGACTCTTCTCAAAAAGATGCTGGCCGTGTGCCCCTCACTCTGTCTGCTGACATTGGGCGCTCTCTCGCCCACACCACCGCCAATTTACAACATCGATCCCGCACCGCCAGCGACCGCGCAAACGAGCGCACCCGTCTCCAGAATGGCCAGAGTCTATGCCGATGTCAACCAGAACATGCCCAGGAGCTACTGGGACTATGATTCTGTCAATATCAGCTGGGGCGCTCTCGAAAACTACGAAGTTGTTCGCAAGATCGGTCAGTCATTTTAACCCTCCTTCCAAACAACGATTCGCTGACCCCCCACACTCCCCCCTCCCCAGGCCGCGGCAAGTACTCGGAGGTCTTCGAGGGAATAAACGTCGTCAACTATCAAAAATGCGTCATCAAGGTGCTCAAGCCCGTAAAAAAGAAGAAGATCAAGCGCGAGATCAAGATCCTGCAGAACCTGGCAGGCGGCCCCAACATCGTCGCCCTGCTCGACGTGGTTAGGGACTCGCAGAGCAAAACCCCATCGCTCATCTTCGAGTTTGTCAACAACACCGACTTCCGAACCCTCTACCCCAAGTTTGTCGACATCGACGTCCGCTACTACATTTACGAGCTCCTCAAGGCCCTCGACTACTGCCACAGCAAGGGCATCATGCACCGCGACGTGAAGCCTCATAACGTTATGATCGATCATGAGAACAGAAAGGCACGACCACCATCAATCAAAACACCTCTGGCTCTCTCTCTAACCTGACCACTACTGACACTCTCTCAATAGTTGCGCCTCATCGATTGGGGTCTCGCCGAATTCTACCACCCCGGCACCGAGTACAACGTGCGCGTTGCCTCGCGCTACTTCAAGGGTCCCGAGCTTCTCGTCGACTACCAGGAATACGATTACAGCCTGGACATGTGGAGCCTGGGCGCCATGTTCGCCTCCATGATCTTCCGCAAGGAGCCGTTTTTCCACGGCCAGAGCAACGCCGATCAGCTCGTCAAGATCGCCAAGGTGCTCGGCACCGACGACCTGTTTGACTACTTAGACAAGTACGAGATCGAGCTGGACACACAGTACGATGACATTCTGGGCCGTTTCCAAAAGAAGCCCTGGCACAGCTTTGTCAATGCAGATAATCAACGATTCGTCTCGAATGAGGCGATTGATTTCCTCGACAAGCTGCTTCGATACGACCATGCGGTAGGTTTTTGTTTACCGTGATGAGATGTCATCCGATGCTAATGGTAAAATAAAGGAACGTCTCACCGCCAAGGAAGCCATGGCCCACCCCTACTTTGCGCCAATTCGCGATGAGGGCATCCTCCAGCGCTATCTCGCCGGCGAAGCAATCTAGTTGATACGTAAGGACGATCCGGTCAGAAAATTTTGGTCACCTGCCATCCCGGACGCGGATGACTCGTGGGCTTGCTGAGGAGTGGAAAGCGGCTGGAAGGAAGGCAGGACATCCTCCCCAAGTAGCAGCCAAGCGCAGAGAGGAAATTTGATTTTGATACCAGGGCTGCTGCTGCTGGAGTCGAGACCGGGGGAGGCGGACATGCCGAGGTTGGGGGGAGGGGGGGAAAGTAACTGTGGGTGGGTGTGAGGAGATGGGAGATTGAGGAGAATGAAGAGAGAGAGAGAGAAAGAAACACAACTTGAATAAAGTAGTTAGTGAAATATCGTTTGGTGCGATTAGAAATGGCAAGGAGTATGGGATTCGTGGTTTTTTTTTTTTTGATTTGGGGGTGTGGTAATTCTTTCCTCTATATGTGAGGCGAGGGAGTGTGGAGGAAGGATAGGGTAGGGTAGCGAATGGATGTGTTGGTTTATTTCAGGGGCTGTTGACACTCCTGAGCTGTGTCATGTTGCATTTATGACAAGGTATATTTACCACCCTGAACTACCTATCAGGTTTGTCTCTCTGTCTGTCCTTTGAATACCAGCCCTAAATCACAGCACAACCTGGTTCTACAAGTCTGGAAGGGCCAGGCTTGTGGCCGAGTCGGGACCAAGGAATATGCAAAGACGCTGTGGTAAAAGAGTTATGAGCTCATGGAAGATGTGAAGTAAGTTAATAACTGGACTGTGGGGTGAGTCGTGGGATGGTAATTAGCTGTGAGATATCAGCTGTGAGATATCAGCTGTGAGATATCAGCTGTGAGATATCAGCTGTGAAATATCAGCTGTGAAATATCAACTCTGAAATATCGGCTTTGAAATTTTGGCTGCGAAAAGATAGCTGTGAAATAATTACTGGGAAAAGTGAGTGGTGGATTGAGAGGTGTGAAAAAAAGGGTTATGAAAAAGCTGCTGAAAAATTACTAGGGAAAAAGTAATTGTGAAAGACTACGGTGGAAAGAGCAGTAATAAAGAACCATCATAAAAGATTGCTATAAAGAATTGATGTGAGATAGTGGCTACCTGTAGCTGTACATATGAAGTGTTGAATGGAACCGAGAGCCGAATGCTGTGAAGTGATTCCTGTGGGAAGGTAGTTGAACACCATGTGTGGTGACAGTATCTACTACGACTGTGTGAAAAGGGACGGGTTGAAATAATTATTGCTTCCAAACAAGAGGTGTTGATGGTTGCAAAATAGAGCAGTGAACTATTAACTGTGAATCAAGAGGGTGTGAATTGAAAGCTGCGAAATAAATGGCTGTGAAGTAAGAGGTGTGAGAGAATAGCTGTCAAGTAAGCAGCTGGAATGGATAGAATGAGAGCCCAGGAGATAAAACAAGACTTGCGAAATTACAAAACCGCAAGCAGACTATCCCTCTGATTCTCCAATCCGTAATGCTGTATCCAGCCCATAGCCAGCTGTAGGGTAGGCAAAGTCACTTTCTCTCATAGTTCAGATCAATCTAGACCATCACCTATGTTCGCTCATCAACACTTATCTCTCCACACCCCTCTCAATATCGCACCATTACGCCTCAATCCCCCTCGCAGCATTCAAAATCCTACTCTCAATAATATCAACCCACCTCTCCGCATTCGTCCAATCCTCCTGATCAATACTCTCCATCAAACCCGGGAACACCGCCCCGGAGTACCCCGTCCACAATCCCGGAGCAAACACCACGTGTTTGAACCACGGCCTGTTGTCCAGCCCTTCCTCATACAAGAAGCTACGCTCGAGGTACTTATACTTGGTGTTGGCCTTGCGAACCGCGCAATGATGGCGGATCTTACGAGGCAGATCCCACCAGGGGATTTCGTCGTTTTCTGAGATGTGTCGAAGCTCATCGGCTAGGAGATCAAGATGGTAGGCGTGGTAGGTGAGGGTTTGAAGGGCTTCATGGAGGCGAGTAAGGGATTTGCGGAAGGTTTTGGGGGTGTGTTTGGATGTGGTGGAAACAGAAACAGGGGAGGAAATGTTGCGGGTGGAGGAGCGAAGTTCAAACATTTCTTCGTCGGTTACGCTTGCCGAAAGGACTTCGGCTGGGGGGATGAAGTAGGCGTCCAGCTTGTCTTCGACCTTGTGGACGTATTCGGCCAGAGCCTTGGCGTAGTCCTCAGCACCAAAGGGGATGACAGGGAGGTTGGCGATTTCCGCTACTAGAATACCAAGAACCTGGGCCATGGTTCTGTGGTAAAGAAAGTCAGGATCCCCAAACTTTTGCATCCAGTGGAAGCTGTCGTAGTTGGAGTGATAATGGTACACAGGGCTGTCGCGGTCATTGTCGAACCCAATGTCGATGGAGGGAATGCCAGCAAAGTCTTGGAAGGCAGTGAAGTCGCTGCCACTTCCCATTGTTTTGATTTTCTTGTCCCAGAGATCATACACGGTCTGGCCGGGGCGTGTTTGGTTGGCTGATCCAACAAGGGAAGTGGCTGTATAGATAACCTTGTTGAGGATAGGAGAGGCCGCGACGGCGAGGCGCTTGCCTCTCACGCCGACATCGGTGTTCTGTCGAGGGTTAGCATTGGTACAACACAGAACACAACGAACTGATCAGCATACCACATAGGCGACACTCGCGTGCTTGAGCCAGGGGAGGTATTCCTCCACCCACTCCGTTGAGCCAACCAAACCATACTCCTCACCGTCCCAGCTAGCAAAGACAACAGTCCGGCGAGGTTTCCAGCCACGCTTGAGTGCTTCTCCAAAAGCACGCATGGCCTCGTTCAAGACTGCCGATCCACTGTTCGGATCGCCGGCGCCTCCTGCAACCCAAGCATCACGATGATTTCCAACAACAACAACCTCATCGGGAATGGTACCATTAATCACACCAATGACATTCCAGATCGGGGTGTACACGTATTCTTGCTCGTTGTAGAGGTTTACAACGACGTCATCTGGAGTAGGTCCGATGTTGTACTCCACGCCCTTGTACCCTAGGCCGGTGTTACGTGTCCACCACTGGTTGAAGTCCTTCGCTTTCGGGCCATGACCGTTGAGGGCCTTGAGAATGGGAAGGGCATCGGCGTAAGAGATCGGGAGGGACGGAATGCTGGGGATGGCTGTTTCGACCGGTCTGCGAGGAGCCTCTGGCTTTGACGGATACCCAGGCGTAGTTGGATCACCCGGGGCGACACTGAGAAACTGGGTGCTGCCTCGTTGAACACTGCTGGGTTGGCGTGCCGGTCCTTCAGGGTATGTAGGAACCCCTTTTTCGTCGGTGACTTCTCCATCATCCCCAGGATCGCTGTACAAAATAACGCCAATCATTCCGAGCTCCTGGGCACGCTTGACCTTGAGCCCTCTGAAAATTCCACCATAACGGGCAATGGCAATCTTTCCCTTGAGTGTGATGTTGGCAGCAAGAAGGTCCTCGAAATCTTGGTATGTGCCGTAGTTGACATAGACGACTGGTGCAGTGACGTTTCCCGAAGCAGAGTATCCGTGAAAGGTTGGCACACTGTTGGCAAGCCCACTAGTGGGATCCTCCTCGATAACATCCTCAACCAGCGAGGCTTCGTACGTCACTTCGTATTCCTTTTCTCCATCCTGTTCCTTCTTCTCCTTTCCCTTCAAAAGGGCGAGTCTGTGGTCGAGAGGGTAGTTGATGTAGACAACATACTCGTTGATCTCAGACTTGATGCCCCACTCTTCCCACTTTTGTTTGGTCGACAGAGCCTGCGAATAGTTTTTACCGGCGAGGTGAGGTCCTGAGGTGTAATAGCGGCTCCATTGCATGGCGCTTTCGCTACTGGGAACGTCGCGAAGGATTTGCCTCAACTCGTCCTGGTCGACCTGGTTGCGTCCAGGCCAGGTTTGTCCATCCTGTCCATCCCGCCCCGAGATATACCAGTTACCGGACAAGATGGATCCCAAAGGCGCTATGAGAGTCCATATGAGGGTTGAGGCGAGGGCTATAGTGCAGAAACGGCGAAGCACCGAGCGAGGCTGAGGCCGTGGGCGTGGCGGTACGTAGATATAATTATCGGGAAATGGATGGACACTTTGTGTCTTGTTCATCTTGAGCGGCTCGTTTTCGGACGCCATGATGGTAGTTCTGTTTTCATGATGAGACTTGATCTATGAGAAAGGCTGACATTTGGCAGTCACTTACAAGTCAACTTAACGCCAAGACAGCAGATGCATCTCACCGACAGATATCGAGTATCGAGTGGTAAACAAAGAGATGGAAGCAGACGTTGAATTAAGCACTGATGAGCAAACCCTGTGGCGAGCTCTGATCGCGTATCTCATCCCAGCTGTGAATGGTGGCTGATCAATCACTCAATGCTGTCGAGGCAGTCGTTGACGCAACCACGGGAGCTGCCGGTGTGATTGTAGTATACAGTGTAGAACGACTTTCGCAGACTGTGCCTAGACTTGGTGGGTCTGGGGGACCCCCGCTTCCGAACGGCTCGCTAATTTTCCGTGTTCAACATCGACGTTCAAGTTGACTTCTTCTTCTCACTGACGCTTAATAGGCACTTGCTCGGTTCCTGTAGCGCTGTATAAGGACCGCTGTATGTCCCCTCAAGAGGTCTCAAGCAATTTTCTGGCTGCCATCTCATGTGTTGTCTCTCATCCCCGCCTCTCACGAAAACATCTTCCAACATCAAGAAACTTCTGCGGTTAGCGGCGGAAGGCGCACTGAAGGTTCCCCGGTTGCACTGCGGCCGCCCCCCATGCAGTGAGCTGGTTCGGTGTGGGAGATGTCAAAAAACGCCCTGTTTCTGTCTCGACGGTGTGTTACCCCTCTTTACTTTTATGTCCGCTGACCTTTGGCACCAACCTGTCTCACCGGGGCATCAATTGAATGATATCTCTGGTTCGGTACCTACGCAGTAAGGTACTCTGTTGTAAGTGCCATCTTCTTGAGTTCGTCTTGAATGACGAAGGTGGAACCGTCAGTGGCGAATGAGGGTTCATCCCAGCCCGTCCGATCACGGAGTGGGGCGTCGACCGGTGCCGTTCCGGCCATCCTCTCAGTGCTCTTTTTCCAGCGGCCTTTGACACCGTAAAATGCCCATGCCACCATCTTTTTTCCGCCTTCTGCAGGTCATTGATATCCGTTGCTGCAGAACGTGATCCTCCTGCCTAAAGCACGCCCTGCAGAATGCCACCCTAGACCTCCTAACCTCCTCGTCTCGAACAGCCAACGGCCTCTCTTCCTACCATCTGGGCCGAACTCACACTCGCCGGCCATCCGACTCAACCAGCCTCTCCCCGGCCGCCGGTTTACTGATCTAGGACTAGTCATCTGCCCGGATCCGCTCCCGCTTCGAAACTGTGTTTGTCAGCCTTCCCACCCTTGCCTCAGTTCTCGGATAAGGCAAATCAAGGCCTGCAGAGTCACTCGCCGTCTCTTCCTCTCATACATAAAACTATTTTGTGCCCCCCCCCTGCCTTCTGCAGTCTTTCCCCCATTTGTTTTGTTCCTTTCTCGGGACTTTTTGTATACCAATTCCTCTCATTTGGAGAGCATAGACTTAGTTTCAAGAGAGTCTTATTTTGCCTCCCGATCCGTGGCATACGTCTTACACACATCAGTGGAGCCAACTGTGACATCTCGAGGCCACTGCCTCTCAGAAACTCAGAACTCAACTCCGTCGTTCTTCTGATCTACTAGGCATAATCGTACACCATGACTAGTCATAAGAATGATGGGCCAAAGCTGCCTGTGCAGCAGCTGGCCATTCTCGGTAAGTCACTTGCCCTTCTAGATCTTTACATGTCGTTCACCGGCCTAGAGTAGTGGAGCAAGAGGGCCCGTTGCCCAATAATACCCTCCGAGTCAGCTAGGCTTGGCAGACATCAACAACTGCTGCTTGACGATCACTGTTCATCTCATAGCCGGGTACCGCTTCCGCTCTCTTCATAGTATGCTGACATTCATCATATAGCCATTGCCAGGTTCGCCGAGCCCCTTGCACTCACCTCAGTCTTCCCCTATCTTCCAGAGATGATCGCCAGCTTTGGGGTAGAGAAGAATGAGGTTGCAAGATGGGCAGGTCTTACCGGTGCCATATTCTCTATAAGCCAGAGCTGTACGGCTGTGGCATGGGGACGGGCGTCAGATAAATTTGGAAGGAAACCCATCATCCTGATAGGGTTGCTCAGCACGATGATTTGCTTTCTTGTCTGGGGTATGTCGACAAGCTTGCCCATGGCCATCACCGCAAGAGCTATCATGGGAAGCGGCAACGGCAATGGTAAGTACCTACACCCAATTCTGTGTTTTCTGTCACACCACTAACAACGTCACCAGTTGGCATCATCAGAACCATGGTAGCCGAAATGGTGCCGGAAAGAGTTCTTCAGCCCAAAGCCTTCTCGCTCATGCCCCTTGTGTGGTCAATAGGCTCTGTCTTTGGGCCTGCCTTTGGTGGCTTCTTTGCTCAACCTGCCAAGCAGTTTCCCGACGTTTTTGGAAACATTGAGTTCTTCAAGACTTACCCCTTTGCTTTGCCAAATATCATGGCATGCTGTGTGTTTTTCATTTCTTTCATGACCGGGTTGTTGTTCCTCAAGGTTCGTCTCATTGCCCCTTTCAAATCACCACATAGACTAACAGCCACAAAAGGAAACACTCGAAAGCAAACGCAACAAACGCGACTGGGGCCTCGAGCTCGGCGAGAAACTAACTCGTCCCTTCCACCGCTCCAAGCGTACCAAGAATCTCAGGAGGCGCTCCTTTGTTGACAGCGAGGCATCTGCCCCTCTGCTTGCCCAGTCCGCCATGTCAAGCAGCTCTTCGCACTTGGAATCCAAGCACTCCGATCCAGTATCGATGAAGGACATTTTCGCCCCTCAGACGTCGATAAACCTCATCTGCTACACCTTCTTGGCTCTTCACTCAGTAGCGTACGACCAAGTCCTGCCTGTGTTCCTCAACTACCCCCGTGTGATCCCTGACGAGCACAACACCTCCCTCCCGTTCAAGTTCACCGGTGGCTTCGGCCTCAGCTCGGACAAAATCGGCACAATCTACACGGTCTATGGCATCTCCTGTGGAGTGATTCAGTTTTTCCTGTTTCCCAAGCTGTGTGCCAAGTTTGGTGTGCTGGGAATCTACCGCTTTGCCAGTAAGCACCCTATTATTTCTCCCTTCCCTAGTCCTTTCGTAGTTACTGACTTCTTGCATAGCCGTCGTATTCCCTATAATATACTTCTTGACGCCCTACACAGTTCTCGTCCAGGATACCACCGCTCGGTACATCTTCTTCTTGACCATCATGCTGGTCAAAGGATTTGTCGTTATTGTCGCCTTCCCTTGCACCACCATCCTCCTGACCAACTCTGCTACCTCCCTCCGGATCCTTGGGACCTTGAACGGAGTAGCGACGACCTTTTCCGGACTAGGGAGAGCTGCGGGGCCCGCCGCTGCCGGTGCGGTCTTCAGCTGGGGCGTGCAGAGAGGATACATGATTGCAGCGTGGTGGTTCCTGGGGTTAATCGCCTTGATGGGGACGATCCCGCCTTGGTTTATTATCGAAGGTGATGGCCCTACCGCTTCCTCGACAGCCACATCAACTTCCACCTCTGACGGGGAAGAAGAGAGCCTGCTCCAGCGTGACGACGACGACGATAGCAGCGTTGACGGGTACGACGAAGTAGCTGTTTTAGAAGCATTGGAGGGCGAGGAGTCAGAATCGGAGACTGAGCCCGGGAAGGAAAGGAAAAAGAGGACAACGAACGGGAGTTATGGAACAATGAATAATGGGACAGCGAGTTGAATGAAATATCATGATGGATGAAGAGACGGGAAAAGAAACGATAGAGCATACGAAGGAAAGAAGGTCATGACTGAACGGGTGTGTGTTTCTTTTGGCTGATGATACCAGATTTCTTTTTTTCTTTCGGCATATCCATCAAGCATATGACATATCACCTGGGCGGTGTTTTGGGGATAAGGAGTTTAAAAAGTTTTGCTGTTTTGGTTGTTTGAATAGAAGGAATGAATTGTCTTTTCACCATAACTCATCCTGGTACCTTACCGACCACAACCACCACCAGCTTGCTCCTTCCTTAACAGCAGGAGCAACAACAATGGTTTATGTATTAGGTCAACCATGCAATATTCAACAGGACAGCAGCACATTCTGGCGTAGCCAAGCGGTCAGCCTACTGGCCGAGGGCAAGCCCTCCCCCCTCCCCCTCGGTTTCGCTCAGCCCCAGAGCTTCCTGTTCGAATCCTCGTAAAATCAAATGGTTTTCGGCGCCGGAACACCACAATCAAATAAAGTGTGGATGTTGGCGAGCTTTTTGATTTTTATTGATCACTGGTGAAAGATAGGATAACGAGCTGTTTCTTTCTTTTGAGTGATCTTTCTATATCACTTGTTTTTGAAGTTGACTTTTTCATGACTGTTGGGTTGTACGGACAGATGCATCCGGCGGTTTGGTACGCTGTATGATGGGATTGGAACCACAATCAACTACTCGGCAGGTCGGTAGATAACCGGTGAAGGAATGAAGCAAGAGGAGAGATATCTCGATATTCAAGATAAATAACCTGTGATATCACATGAACAGCTTCTACGACCGAGTATCTCCTAATCTACCGTCTAACTAAAACCACTCGCTCAAGCTATGTTACAAACCCCTTCCCCCAAGAAGAAAATCTACACACATTTTCCCCCCAAAGGTGATATATGTAATGTGTTCCCCATCTAGATATCTCACCCATCTACCTACCATCTGTTAACCACCCAATCTAAAAATACCGACATTATACAATCCCCATCCCCCCATTATCTACCCCTGCCTTTCCCCCCATCAATCACCACCTCCCCATTCCCCCCCCCCAACAAGGAAACCCTAACCGTAACCCCCTCCTTAGGCCTCAAAACCAACCTCCACATCTTCCACTCCTCCGGATCAGCCGTCTCATAATCCCTTCCAAACTCAAACTCGCTCAGCAGCACACATAACAAAATCTTCATCTCCGTCTCGGCAAACTTCCGCCCAATACACCCCCTCGGCCCCTGCAAAAAAGTCATAAACGCGTTCGGCACCACACTCGGCGGCAAATCATCCCACCTGTCCGGGTCAAACTCATCCGCCGTTTCCCCCCAGTAGCACGGAAGCCGGTTGATCGTGTTGGCAAGCACGTAGATCACAGTTCCACCCGGGACTTTGTACCGACCCAAAGTGTCGTCCGCGATGGACTGCCTTACTGTCATGGGGATCGGGGGGATGTATCTCAGTGATTCCCTGCAGACGTTGTCCATGAAGGGGAGCTTATCCGGGTCTACGGACGCCAAAAGACGAGGATCGTGGCGGGTGGAGGCGTCAAACAAAAAGGGCATGTGCTCCCGGATTTCCTCACGGAGTTTGCTCTGAATTTCAGGGTGCGTCGACAAAAGGTGAACAGTCCACGCCACCGCCGTGGCAGTGGTGTCATGTCCCGCCCCCAGAAACGTCATGATCTGATCCCGCATCGTGTCAAACGACAGCCCCTCCTCCCCGTTCTCCTTGAGCTTCTTATTCTCTTTCGCAATCAGAGCAAGGATGTCCTTCTTGCCGATGTTGTTCTCCGCCTCGTCGAGCTTGGTGGTGATGATCTCGGTTGCTTTGTCGAGGATGATACCCCGGGAGGTTTCCATGTCGCGATTCATCTTGGAGGGGATGTGCTTCGAGGCAGGGATGAAAGCTTGCATTCCGTGGAGGAGGCGAGAAAAGAGGTCAAAGGCGAAGACGAGGCGGTAGGCCTCGCGGATGGGGACGTCAGGGTCCTCGAGGGAGTTGATGTCGTATCCGAAACCGGCCTTGCCGATGATGTCGAGGGTGCAGCGGTTTAGCCATTCCAACGCCTCGAACGATTTGACCCTGAGGTGGGAGGTGGTCATCTCCTCCTTCCAGAGCTTGGCCATGATGAGGGACTTTTCCCAAAAGATGGGCGTGAGCGAGCGGATAGCGCCGATGGAGAAGCCGGCTGTGAGGGCCTTGCGCTGGACGACGTGGTCGGTGCCTTCGGCGAGGAGGATGCCCTCACCAAGAATGCGGACCATCCAGAGCTTGGCCCGAACGGGCTTGGGGTAGTTGTACGGGTTCTTCACCGTCATGTGCTTGAGGGCTTCGTCGTCGGCGACGGACAGTCTCTCGGCGCCAAAGGGGAAGTAGTAGCGGATGATGGGACCGAGCTCCTTGTGCCAGCGACGCTGGGGGACGCCGCACTCCTCGGTGATGATGGTGAAGAACTGCCCTATGAGAGGGTTACCCGGGACTGTGGGAACGTGTCTCAGCTCCGAGAAGTAGATTGGGTAAAGATAGCTCAGCCAGACGAAAAGGTAGAAGGGGATTGCTGCTGCCAACGCTGTCCCGACAGTCTGGGCCAGAGGCAGGTCGAATTTCTTCGCGACACCGATGGATGCTGCTGTGGTTACCGCCAGCATGGGGCCGAGAGTGACTTTTGAGGCCATGGTTACCGAAGCGATATTCGGTGTTCAACGGCCGAGAGATGGAGTATCGGAACTGGAAGAACTGAAGCGAAGCATAGAGTTGAACGCCGGTTAGGTCCAAACCCCCAGAAGATGAGATACACTGCGAGGTTGTGATGCCGAAACCAGAATTCCAACGGTAACGGGCATACCGTTATATACATCATGCCTGCTGGCCTTCAGAATCCAGGAGCTTGGTTCGCCGTGGCGACGTTCAAGATTGAGGGCTTTCCATGGCGCTAGGCGAGGCCGGTGTATGCCGCAAGTTTGACCTGAAGGATCTATTTACATGCCGTTACCCAAAAGCATGGCCTAGAACAGACCTAGAGCAGTATTGTCTGAATCATGTCCGCCAGAGTCAGTGTCAACGCCGGTGTGGAGTCTGTGTGCTAGTGGGCTAGCTTGAGCGTTCTCGTACCACGGAATCCGGTATAACCGTTGGTTTAGACTTGAGCCGATGACCTGTGTGTCGGTACTGAAGTTGACATACGGGCTCCTTGATTACCCCTGAAAGCAGTCATTCAGTTACAGTCAGGCATCATGAGCTGAACCTGGGGTTCGGCGTGTGCGCTGTGTTCTTCGAAACAAGGTGGCACTTTAAAGACAGCCCTTGAATATTCTCATCGTCGTTTCTGTTGAACTGCCTGCAGGCTTGGTAAGGGTTGACGGTTATTCAGCCGTCGAGTGGCGCACCTAGTTTAGGCGATCCCCTGTGACCGCTCCCAACGAGATAAAGCCGTTGTCGACCGAAAATACCGGCCTCCTAGACTGACGAGAGCTTTATCGACATGGAAAGCGACCATACCTGCTGCCTCTGGTAGCTTCTCCCGGGTCAGATCTCAGGATTTGAAAGAGGCCGAAAACATGACCCATGACCAGAATTTCCGGCTCCCTGAACGTCGAGTGAATCTTGACTGTTTCACTCAACCCCCGAGTCCCTTCTCCTCCTCATGATGGCTTCTCTGAGTAACGTTCTTCATATCATCATGTGCTTTCGAAAGCGCCAGCCCTCTCATGATGAGAGCCCAATACCAGACATCCCCCCCGAGATTCCCATGCCGGCATGTCAAGACAGCAACCGCCCCAGCAGCTTTGGCGGCCTAGTCAGCCAACACAACCTCCAAAGAATCGGCATCCCACCCCTCAAAACCGAGTCCACCACCAACAATGACAAGCTCTCAGCCGTCTCACGCGTGTCCGGTGCGACCCGGAATCCCCCACCGATTCGCACGCCACAGGAGATGGCCAACGTACCCAAGAACGTGCTCCTAGAAGAAGTCCTTGGCGGCCTGCGGCAACTAGCCGCGTCCCCGACCCCCTTGACACCTACCAGTGTTCGACGAAAGTACCCGATTTCCATGACTGAGCAGCGACATCCAGGGAAACCTGACGCAAAAATCCATTGGAGCACAAAGCCATTTGAGGTTCCGAGGGACGCAGTGACCCCGGAACTTCCCATGTCGGAGAAGGGTGACCCTCTGGCAGAGGCCCGTTATGTCTCTGGTATTCCTCTGGCGTGCCTGATGGCTGGGCTGATGTTTGCGGTGTTTTTGACTTCGATTGATAGAACGATTATATCAACGGTGGGTGGAACATGATGCTATCTAGTATTTTCTTCCTCTACTGACCTTTGTAGGCTATTCCGAATATTACCGAGGAGTTCAAGTCGACGCCGGATATTGGCTGGTATGGCTCAGCATATATGCTCACAGCCTGTGCCTTTCAGCCCATGTTTGGTCGCATCTATACGATTTTCTCTGTTAAAGTCTCGTATCTGGTAGCCGTGTTTCTCTTTGAACTTGGATCGTTACTCTGCGGTATATCAAAGACGTCCATGACTTTGATCATCGGGCGAGCCATTGCAGGGCTGGGGTGTGCAGGCATCCTCACTGGGAGTTTCGTTGTCGTTTCAACCACGATTCCGTTGCATTTGCGGCCTGTTTTCATTGCTATTGTTGGGCTAATGTAAGTGATCATCACCACGAGGTTCTCTTCGCTGCTCATCTGACCCTATTCAGGTTTGGGATCGGTGCTTCCCTTGGACCCCTGCTGGGTGGTGTTTTTACAGACTTGGTGGTGAGTATCTGGCAACCGATGTATTTGTCGAGAAGATACTGACAACTCGAGACATGGCGATGGTGCTTCTACATCAACCTCCCCGTTGGCGGTGCCACCGCCGCGGCCATGATGATTTTCTTTCATCCAGCAAAGAACAAGGGAGCCAACCGGCCATTCTGGCAACGTATCTTGGCCTTGGATATCCTTGGAAATGCGCTTCTCCTGGCGGCGTCCATCATGCTCTTCCTGGCGCTCGAGTACACAACCCAGGGGGTGGCCTGGTCAAGTGCAGAGGTTATCGGACTCTTGACTGGGTGTGGCGTCGTGGCCGTCATCTTCATGGCGTGGCAATGGTGGAAAGGAGATGAGGCGCTGATGCCGCCTCGGATTGTCACTCAGCGTACGGTGGCTGCTTCTTGCGGCATGGCGTTCATGACCTATGGTGCGCTCATCAACCTGACCTTCTTCTTGCCCATCTGGTTCCAAGCAATCAAGGATGACAGCGCTATTGGTTCGGGTGTCAACATGATCCCCTACTTTTTGGTAAACGCCTTCTTTTCGCTCTTGGCTGGCATATTTGTCACCAGGATCGGTTACGTCACGCCTCCAGCCGTGATTGGAAGTGCTATCGGTACTATTGGTCTTGGATTGCTGACGCTCTTGAATCCGCGCACCACGACGGGGCAGTGGGTGGGCTACGAGATGGTGTGCAGTGTAGGGTTTGGCATGTCGATCCAACAGGGATTCACAGCTGTTCAGACGGTACTTGCGGAGGACGACATGGCGGTTGGAACAGCAGCGGTGGTGGCTTCGCAGTCGTTGGGAGGCGCCATCATCCTATCGATCGGAAACAGCGTGTTTCAACACCAGCTCTTGAAGGCATCAGAGGCTAATATCCTGCCCGGAGTCGACATCAAGAAGCTTATCGATGTGGGCGCAGCTTCATTCCATAATCTTGTACTGGATGATGAGCTGCCATTAATGTTGGAGGTGTACAATGCTGCACTGCGATTGGTGTTTATTGTGGGCATCCCCATGGGTGCAATGGCTGCCATCATTTCGTGCTTCCTCGAGTTCAAGTCAGTCAAGGCGAACAAGGAGGGTGATGTGGCGAAAAATCGTGCCGAGGATGTCGCGCAAAAAGCGTAAGAAAACAATGATATGAGGGAATTTGTGTTTGTATATGATCAGGTATTTGATGAATAGGAAAGCTTGAGATTCATTGCACGAGGGAAACGCGATATCACGTGTGGCCGGCTGTGCTCCGGAATGGGTGCAGCTGTCAACTCTTGGCATCTGCAAGGTCGCTGCTCTTGGGTGGATCAAAGAAGCTGGGCCGGTGGGGCTCTCTTTTTATCGATATCAACCGGGCAAGGCTACGATTACCTTTCTGGAAGCTCCGTCACCTTTCCAAACTAGAGCCAATTCACCCGATCCGCGACAGCTTCATCACACTCTCCCACACCACAATATCCACGATGGACGACCGATCGCTCACCAAGCGCATCCAGACGCTGCACAAGGCTGCTGCGAAAGAGCCTCCATCCGTGGTCCTCCAGTTGCTGGAGGAGTTGAAGAAGGAGCCTGCCCCGACTGAAGAGCAGCTTCGTGTAAGACCTCTCTCCTGTCCCTGCCGCGGCGGGCGGGCGGGTTGACTTTTTTGGCCACTCTGTTGATCATATTGCCCGCAGTCCACCAAAGCCGGCGTCGTCGTCGGTAAAATGCGATCAAACACCAACAAAGACATCGCGAGATTGGCTACCGAGATCGTGTCCAAGTGGAGGAAGAACGTCGACTCGGCCAAGGACAAGCGCAAGGTTGAACTCGCCAAGGACTCGCCCACCCCGAAGAGCGTCAGCTCGCCTCTCCCTCCATCATCATCTTCCAACAAGCCATACGAGGGCGATACCGAGAGACGGCATTTCAAGACGGACAAGGTAGATCTCAAGCGCACCGGTCATCAAGCTCGCGACGGCTGTATCGGCGTTCTTTACAACGGCCTGGCATACAGGGCCACAGAGTCTGTCGAGGAGGTTGTTAGACTCGCCATGGAGGTGGAGGCTGCCGCTTTCAGAGTTTTCAAGGGCGACACGCCAGAGTATCGCCAAAAGATTCGCGGCCTCATGACCAGTTTGAAGCGCAAGGACAACCCTGCCTTGGGAAAGCGCGTGCGATCCGGAGCCATCACGCCGGACACGTTTGTCAAGATGACGGACGTTGAGCTTGCCTCGGATGCCCAGCGTGCCGAGGACGAGAAGCTGCAGCAGGAGAACATGAAGAAGGCGCAGGTGCCCATGGCGGAGAAGTCGATCAGTGATGCTCTCAAGTGTGGCAAGTGCGGGCAGAAGAAGGTATCGTACAGCCAGGCTCAGACTAGGTCTGCTGATGAGCCGATGACGACATTTTGCGAATGCACTGTGTGCGGTAACAGGTGGAAGGTAAGTTTTCACTTCGACAGCCTTGCGTCAAGTGGTTCTCGCGTGCTAACAGATGGCAACAGTTCTCCTAGCGAGCAAGGCGGTTTCCTACTTTTTGTCGTGTTTTGGTTGGGGTTTGGCGTTTGGGGAACGCGCACCATTTTCGTCTTTTGCTGCGTTTTTGCATGATACCCGAGCAGCGGCCAGGCAGTACTTGAGGCTCTGTCTCGGGGATGGGAGAGGTGGCTGAAGGATCCGGAGGAGGTATTTACATATTTCTATTGAACTCTAGATTCAGAGCACAGGCTGTACTATACACAATTTCACGAGAGGCCGATGACAGTGAAGCATGTCTGGGACTTTTGGGACATGATTAGCTTGGACAGTTCACAGGTCAGAACTACGCTCGCCAGCGATCCCGACAAGGGGATTTGCCGGACGTTTCTTACGAGCATACATATATCGATAGTTGACATAACAACCGTGAGTGGGTCGACTCACTGTCCCTTTTCTCGAGCTTTTCCGTATGGATGGCAAACCAACGTATAATGCAGCGATGTTTCACTTTCGCTCACAATGTGCGGTTTATAATTCATCACTCCTTCACCGTGTCAACATATCAAACAATCTCCCAATTAATTCCTATCTCACTATCTATAATCACCACTCCAACACCCTCCCCCCATCCCACTAACCACGCCGCCCCCCGCATCCACCTCCCCCCCCATTATGATTCCCCCCTCTTTACACACCCAAAGCAAAAAACCTTCCCACACCCCCCTTCACACCTTCCCCCCTTTCCCTTATCCTCACCCCCCCCTTTCACCCTCTTCACCTGCCTCTTAACAGCAACTCTCGCCATAAAACTCTCCTTTTTATCCCCCTTCCTTGCCGAGCCCTCGGGCTTTTTGACCAAGTATGTCCCCCTCGGCGTACCACTCACCGTCGAAAACAACCTCACATGGTTCGAAGCAGGAGAAGACCTCATAATGGGCGTCACCGACGAAACAGACGGCGACAAGACAGCTAACTCGTCGTCTTCCGAGTCGGAGAGCAGAGACAGCACCCCCGAGCGACGTTTCCTTTTGGCGGTGGGGGTAATTGAGGATGAAACGGGGGGTGGTTTTGAGGTGGGGTCCTTGGTTGGTTTAGTCGAGGGTGCTGGTCGTTTTGATGTGGGCGTTTTGGTCGGTTTAGTCGAGAGTGCTGGTCGTTTTGATGTTGGCGTTTTGGTCGGTTTAGTCGAAGGTGCTGGTCGTTTTGATGTGGGCGTTTTGGTCGGTTTGGTGACGGTTGGTGTTGTTGCTGGCTTGACGGTGGTGGGTGGTGGTTTTGAGGCTGGGGTTTTGGCTGGTTCGGCGGCGGTTGGTGTGTTTGATATGGTGGATAATGGTGTGGTTGCTGGTATGGTGGGTGGTGTTGGTTTTGCCTTTGGGGGCCGGCCACGCGGTCTCCTCGGTGGTGTTGTGAGATACGAGGGCGTGGAAGGCCTGAGGTGAAAATCCCCTTTCCGTTGGGCTGGTTTGAATATCAATGGTGAAGATGTAATGGCGATGCTTTCTAGCGTCATATTGTTAATATTGTCGTGGGGGGTACCTGGCAGTGGTGACGATGTCGTGTCCGTGACGGCCCCGTCCTGAGACTGGGACGACAGAGCCGGGACAGGGTCTGATATTTCGGCTGGCCCCGGAGAAGATGCAATGGGGGCAGAGTCCAACATCTCAGTATCTTGAGGCTGTAAAGATAGAGAAGCGATCGGTCCCAGCATCTCATCACCGGGGGCGCAGGATGACAGAGTTGGCGACGGAACCGTGTGATTTCGCGGGGTTTCTTCCTCCACACTTCCCATCTCACTTGACGGTTCAATATAAGAATCTGGTATTTCCAGCGTTGTCTCTTCGTCTCCATTAAACGACAGACTTGGCGATGGTGGCCTCACATCGTCGTCGAGATCTTCCTGGGTCGAGAAACCGCCGATGGGATCAGAGTCTGGGATTTCGCCTCGCGGGTCTCTACCCCTGAAGGATGGTCTCCCTTTGCGTCTGTTTGGCCATGGCGTCTGCTCGCTGCCGATTGTGTAGATAACTTCTGTTATTTGGGGCGGCCGAACCATAATGTCTGGTAATGATGATTCTGTATCAATAATGGGTGGTGCTGGTTGCGGTGACGATTCTTTCAACTCTACCGCGACGCGTTCATCTTCACGGTCAGCCTGATTCTCCAGGCTCGAATCTTTTGGATTAAGATTTCCAGCGTCAGGCATCGGCACATCGTGTGGCTTGTCCGACGTATTTGTGTCGGAAGCCACGATGCCAAGTGGCTTGCGTAGAGTTTTCCGTAACAGACTTTCGTCCTTTTTGCGGCTTGCTCCTGCCTGCTTTTGTGGCTGCCGTTGCGTCTTCTGCATGGGCTGATCTTCGTCAGACAGGTCGTATTCTGCATCCACTACATGCCGAGTAAACAGTTCTCCTGGCGGCTCCGGCTGGCCATTGGCTTCTATTTCACTTTCAGCAGCCGGGGGTCTGGTTGAGTGGTTTGTTTCTCTCTCCTCGGGCGCCAGAGGTATCATTGTTGCTGGTGGAACATTTTCCTCCCCATCCTTTTCCTGTGGAATAGGATGGTCAGCCTCGCTTTGCTCAGGCGTAACAGCCCTGAACGAGGAGATGTCCAGTGGAGTTTTGGCCACAATCTCCACCCGTAGACTCTGATTTCGCGGTTTCCTAGCGGACTTGTGCTCTGAATCAGACACGTAGATATAGACATCTGGATCCTCGGCAGGTACTGAATCTTGAACTGGTGGTGGTCGTGACCGAACAGCCATCACCGTAGGCTTCTGTTCTGGAGTCTTCGGGCTCTCGGTTTCTACAAGCGTTGCAGTCGGTTCCGGTTCAGTTGTTGGAGAACTGATGTCGGCCGTCACAATCTCAACATCTGGCTGAACTCCGTCCGTCTTCGAAGGAGTACTCTCCGCCTCAGCCATCGCAACACCGTCCCGTGGCGGCGAAGGCGCTTTCGCCACATCCTTTTCCGCATCTTTATGCGCCGATTCTTTGGGTGTATCCGATCCAACCTTGGACTTTCTCTTTCCAGGTCCCCTCTTCTTCTTTTCCGGCCCCGTATCAGGCGGCGGCTTCGGCAACAGCAACTTCTGCTTTATCGGCGTCTCCGTCGTCTCCATACCCTTATCCTTCGTAAAAACCCCCAGCAAAACATCGTCCTCATTATCACCCTGCTCATCCCTCGGCGCAGCAAGTGAAATCCGCTTCTTCTTCACCTGAGGCGCATCAGTCATCGCTGCAGGCCGGTACATAAACGAAGGCGGCAGCGCCGGCGCCTGCCAAGTCGGATCGCTGGTCTGTAGATCGATCGGCGGTCCATATTCCACCGGCCACCCACTAAACCCTTCCATCTGTCCCGGAAACATCATACCCCCCCCCATCTGTCCAGAAAACATCACACCCGGCCCCATCTGCCCCTCAAATCCCATATTCGACAACCCCATCTGTCCCATCATCCCAGGCCACCCCCCAAACCCACCTCCCATCGCCAATTCCGACTGCCCCATCATCTGTGGAAGCATCACCCCCCCTCCCATATTCATCCCCATCATCTGCGGCAGCATCACATCCTGCCCCAACCTACTTAGTCCTTGAGCATCTCCCACACCATGAAGAAGCCTCTCCTCCTCATTATATTCCTGCCCCCCATTGCCCCCCCCATTCTCCCCCTCCCCATCCCCCTCATCCTCACTCTCGCCAACCAAAAGGTCACTCCCCCTCATCCCCTCAATATGCCCATTATTAACCACTATCCTCCCAGTCCTCAAATCAACCTCGTCCCCCACCCCCTCAAAATCCCTCCCGTACCTCTCAAAGATGCTCTCAAACGCCGTCTTGAGCTTGTTCACCGCCCGCTGTCTCGACCGTTCCAGCCTCGCATTCGGATCCCGTCTCGCGTTGACTTCTGACGGCAGCGACAAGAGTTCGTCTTCTAGTGGATCCTCCTCTACTTCTAGGGGGTTGTTGTTCAACGAAAGGGGGGGGCGCTTGCTCGGAGGGGGGCACTCCATCGTGGTAGTCGCATATCGTGGTGGACGTTGGGGTCGGGTGTGGTGGTGTCGCAGAGTGGAATTGGCCGATGGGTAGTCACGGATCTTAGGTTGTCATATCCGAGAAGGGGACGTCTCGCGCGCGCTGCAGCCACCCGTCGAGTCGTCGGTCGCGAAATTTAAACTTCAGTTAATTGCTCCTCGAAACCTTGAAAGTGACATGCTGCTCAGCGGAAATCAATTGGGAATTGATTGTTAACCGAGCAACGCGTGGGGCAAGTAATGGTCAGTGCGCGCTGAGCTTAATCCAGCACGGCCCCCCTTTTTGCTATTCATACAAGACTTTTTATACAGTAAACATCACAGTAGCATTCTTATACCACGTCAACAGCGGATTCTCCCCGCTCTTCGTCTCCGTCTCCTCCAAATACGCCCACCTCCGCATGAACTCCTCGTGAGACAACGACCGCGTCAGTTTGCCCGTAATAGCCTGGTACATCGCTTCCGACGTCTGAAAGTCAGTAGGAAACATGATGTCAAAGTACCCTTGATGAACCTAGAAACGCATCAGTATGTTTTGCCTGTCGTCAAACTGAGCAGCACATCACTCACCAAAGGCGTCGAAACCGGCACCGGCCTCCTCTGATACCTCGTCTGCACAATCGGCGCATTCAACCCCTTGATCGCCCCCGGCAACCAGTGGAAATCACTCGTCAGCAGCCGATGCGCAGGGAAATACTTCCCCAACACGTCAAAAAACTGCATCAACCTCGTCGGGATGTACTCCTGCTCGCTCAAGTTCCCAGGCAAGGGCCTCTGCTGAGACAGCCACTTGCCAAACCTGCTTGTGGGGTACGGCACCTTGTACCTCCCGTCCGTAGCCACATCCCTCACGCGGAAGAAGCGGGCCGTGACTGGGTCCAAGTTGCGACTGTAGAACTCGTAGTAGTCTCCCTTCCCATCGATCAAGACGGTTCCTTGAAGGGGAGCTTCGGTGGCCATGTCATACCGGACAACATCATGCGCAAAGTTGTCAAACACTTCAAAGGCGAGGAAGAAACATGGCGACGGCACTTTGGTCTTCCAGTCAAAGATGGACTGGTTGATGATTTCGACTTTTTGGGCGTGTCCACGAGCGTGGCTGTTTTTCAAGAGGTGGTTGTTTTGAATCGTGGCGAGCTGGGTGGAAATTTCAATGATTTTATACTGAGTGCGAGCATAGACGGCCGGGTCCACATCGCGAATGTAGTCTAGGATGTTGAGCATCAGGGTACCACGACCGGCACCCATTTCGTAAATGATCAAATCATGGTAGGGATAGGTGGTGAGTTTGTAGTTTGCGATCAGGTACCGGGCGATCGCTTCACCATAGTAAGGGCGGAAGAGTTCGGTAGGGGTATACCACAGCTGGCGTGTATCGGTTGGAGAGACGGCGTCGAGGGCGTCTTCGAATTCGACGTAGCGTTTCGAAAGAATAGTTTGAAAATCGATTTCGTCGTGGAGGGAGGGGAAGTTGAAGGGCTCGCCAGGGGAGAAGATGACAACTTGTTTGGAGAAGTAACCGTAGTTGGGGTTGTACAGACTGTCTGGAGGATATGTCAGCTGTGCACAAACAGATGTAAGTACTTTCCCAATAGAACCAACCTTCAATAAAGTCCCGCATCAGCATCTTTACCCGGCGTGGCCGTTCCTTTCTGCTTCGGAGCTCATCGGCAGTGACCAGGGGGTAGCTCTCGAACTCCTTGGACATGTCCTCCTGAAACACCTCGCTCCGTTGTTGCCAGTTACTTTCATTGTGTGGATTCTTTGACGATTCTCCTCCTCTACCGCGAGCCACATAGTTTCGGTGTTGTTGTTGTTGTTGATGTTGTTGCCGTGGCGCACGGCAATGTTGGTAATGTTGTTGAAGCTCCTGAGCTTGAAGCCGTTGACGTCTCACATTCCGCAGAGCTGTGGCCAGGGTCGCCAAGTTCCTTCGCGATTGGCAGGCAGGGTGATGTCTAAATAGCTGTCTAAACAAGTGAGTAACTGCAGGCGAGTCCATTGTTCCGGAGTCGACCCCTAGAGGTCTGGTTGTGGCGTCGGTGGTGTCGTCGAGGGGTTTGGCGAGCTGTCCTGGACATTGAGCTCCATCCCTCCTTTGACAAGCAGCACCCGCGCAGTTCCCATTTTCGGGGGTCAACTTTTTGCGTTGGCCCGAGCTCCCATCATCAGCAGGGGTCTTCGGCCTTCAACGGCCTGGATCTGGCGGGGTTTAAAAAAGCGGCCCCCACTGAATCTCACGACATTGGAACGTTGGACCAGGGTTGAGAATTGGCTTCTTGGCGACGAAGCTTGAAAGCTCTCAATGACATCAACTCTATTTTTCTCTTTTCACGGTAACATTTGCAATTAGCTCTGGAGCTTCTTTTCATTTTGGTTCCTGAAGCCCTTGAGCTTCTGGTTTCTCGTGTTTGCTCTTCGAGGATGTCTTTATAATCTGCTTCCTCCTCCTCATCATTTCATGACCCTCTCATGAAGCAATGAGATAGATACCCCAAGTCAAAATGTCTCTAAGCGACCACCCAAAAGCCTACGGCACCGCCGCCCTGACAGTAGCCTTCATAACCGGCATCTTCGTCACCCTCGGCTTCAAAGACCTCTACCCCGAACTCGAAAACCGCTACCAGCAACGTCTCAAACGCAACCGCCATGCCCGCAACTCGCTCGCCCGCTCCTCCACCGTCTCCTCCCGACGAGACTCCTTCCTCTTCAGCGGCCCCGTCTCCCTCGAAGACCGGGAATCCACCTTCACCACCATCGACCGCGGCCTCGGCATAGTCGACGGCATAGCCGGCACGATAGGCAACACCCCCCTGGTCAAAATCCGCTCCCTCTCCGAAGCAACCGGGTGCGTCATCCTCGCCAAAGCAGAGTTCCTCAACGGCGCGGGGAACTCCCCCAAGGACCGTGTAGCCTTAAACATGATCGAAGTCGCTGAGCAGCAAGGCCTTTTGGTCCCCAACAGAGGTGACACCATCTACGAAGGCACAGTAGGATCAACCGGTATCTCCCTCGCCGTCCTGGCCAGGGCGAAAGGGTACAAATGCCACATCTGCATGCCCTCCGACGTGGCGATCGAGAAATCTGAGCTCCTCCACCACTTGGGAGCTACGGTGGAACGTGTCACTCCTGCGCCCATCACGGACCCAAAACACTTTGTCAACCTCGCCCGCCAGAGAGCAAAGGAACACACGTTGCGGACTGACACGGAAAGCCGCGGGTTTTTTGCCGATCAGTTTGAGTCGTTGGCTAACTACACGGCCCACATGAAGACCACGGGCCCGGAAATCTACGAGCAGACGGGCGGGCTTATTGATGCGTTTGTTGCTGGTGCTGGAACGGGGGGGACCATTTCGGGGGTGACGAAGTATTTAAAGGAAGAGAAGAAGCTGACGAACCTCAAGGTTGTGCTTGCGGATCCTCAAGGGAGTGGGTTGTACAATAAGATTAGACATGGGGTGATGTACTCGCCCACGGAGAAGGAAGGGACGAGGAGGAGACAGCAGGTTGATACCATGGTGGAGGGGATTGGGATTAACAGGATTACCGAAAACTTTGAGTCTGCCAGGTCGCTCATCGACGACGCCGTAAGGGTGACGGATATCCAAGCTCTTAAAATGGCGAGGTGGTTGGTGGAGCATGATGGGATTTTTGTCGGGAGTTCGAGCGCGATCAACTGTGTTGCGGCGGTGATGACCGCGCTGAAGATGCCGAAGGGGAGTCAGGTTGTGACTATTTTGTGTGATAGTGGGAGTAGGCATTTGAGCAAGTTTTGGAAGAGCGTGGGGGAGTTGGGGTTGGAGGTTAATGGGGAGGATGAGGAGAGGGGGGGGGAGGGGGAGGGTGACATTGTTGAGGTTTTGGGGTTGGGGAAGGGGAGGCAGTAAGTAGAAAATGGGTATATGTGAGGGATGCAGATGTGAGAATGATGATACCCCTTGTTCATTGTGTGTGTATATGTGGCACAACGTTGACTGTGACCAGAAAGATGAGTAAAAAAAATTACGACTCTTGTTCTTCAGTCATTGGCTAGGCATTAGTTCTCAAAACTCTCAGCCTCACCACAACTATCATCAGTAATACTCCCGGCTTTCTCTTCAACATTGACCATTATATTATTCTTTCCTATTTTTCAATATGTATTCTTAAAATAATCCACAATAATCTACAGAATCATGCCACCCAACTTTGTACAAGGACGACACCACCCAAAAATGCATTTTTGCCACCCATTTATTTTCACTCAACATAGCTCCCCTTGTGATCCCTATGACCGCTTTGACGACGTCTTCCCTCATGATCCACCCACACGTGGAAAGGTTCGTTATCATGCTGTTTCCTTCCGTGATTGGACTCCCTGTGATGAGCGTTGTTTCTTTGCGTCTGCTGATAATCTCCACCATGACGGCTGCCATTGTTGAATCCCTCACGATGATGCCGCCCGTTGCCACTATGGTCGTCGTCATACCGCTGCTGGCCATAACCATGGCGACCGTTGCTGTTGTAACCTTTCTCACCAAAGTGGTAGCCGTTGTCTCCACCGCGATTTCCTCCGCGGTTATTGCCATATCCACCAGGAAGCTCACCGCTGGGTAGGAAGCCGGGTTGTACTCTAGGACGATCAGATTGCTGCTGCTGCTGCTGTTGCTGAGGGCGGCGGTGGTAATCAGGACGAGGTTGTGCATATTGAGCTTCGCGGTGAGGACGTTGAGGTTGGTGCTGCTGTCCCTGCTGTCCCTGCTGTCCCTGCTGTCCCTGTTGCCCCTGCTGCCCCTGACGTCCACGATACTCCCCCTCCTCATACCTCTGAGACCCGTAATTCGGTCTAGGCCAATACCCAGAAAACTTCGGCCTCCCCTGACGCCTCGCCCCCCCTTCCTCCTCCTCGTCCTCCTGCTCCTCCTCCTTCTTCTTTTTCCCCTCAGGCTTCTTCTTCCTCTCCTTCCCTCCCCACCTCCACTTCTTTGCTTCCTCCTTCCCACCTTTCCACTTCCACTCCTTCTCGCCCCATTTCCACCCCTTCCCCTTTTTTACTCCCTCCTCCTCCTCCTCCCTCTCCTCCTTCTCCTCCTCCTTTTTCTTACCCTGCCTATGCACACTATGATCACTCTTATCAACCGTGATCGGATCACAAACACTAATCCCGATACAAATGATATTTTGCGGTTTCTGGTTGTCATTCTTCTTCTGGCCGCTGTTCTTGCTGTTGGCTGCCCGCTCGGCTAGGCGGTCGATGAGCCGGTCGATGAGGGCGTCTAGGTTTGGGTCTTCCATGTTCTTGTCCTCCAAGACTTTTATTTTTGTGAGGAGGGATTGGATTTCGGAATCAAAGGCGGGGTCGGGGGGAAGGTTTTGGGAGTGGTAGTTTGAGATGGCTCGGGAGGCGGTTAAGGAGGGGGAGAGGGCGATGGGGGTGGCGAGGATGTGGAGGGAGAGGAGGAGGGTGAGGAGGGTTTGGGTGCGCATGGTTGGGGGATGGGTGGTGTGGTGAGTCGGGGTGGGCTGGTGGTTTGAAAGCTGCTGGAGGTGTATTATACTGACATCCTTGATCTCTGCTCTGGGAATGTTCTGTTTTAAGATCTGAATGTCATCTCCGGGCGTTTGGACACCTATCTTCAACGGCTACTCAACCTCCATCTCCGTTGTCAACGCCAGTAACGGCAAAGCCGCCTTCACCGTGTCGCGAGCATGACATCTCCAGAGCTAACGGTTGTCGTGACCTTTTGATAACGATTCAACGGTCATCCCAACGTCCCCAACAGTCGTCCCGTTGCCAGGCGACCACAACCTTGGGTCGGAAAGGCGAGGGCACTGAATCGAGGTGATTACCAAGCGAGCAAGATTCCGAAATGGTTGACGGACAAAAGTCAAATTTATTTCTGGTCCTGGCGCCAGAATAAGGTGAAGAAAATGGCTCAACTCTTGACTGATAGATGTGACAGATCACTGGGGAAGAATCCTCACCGGTGTGGACTATGTATGCTCATGGACTCATGCCAAGCCGTTCGCTCTTGCTAAACATGTCTTGCCCCTTTCACAAGGCATGTGGATAAAGGATAGCGGTCCTGGGCGGTTCTAATCGAGGCAGGAGCGGTCCGTATGCAGATCTATAGACAGACGTTCATGATGACACCTGCATTCTAGCAACACTTATTCATCTTGCAAAGACACTTGTCAACTATCATCTTGACGGACATCCCTTTTGAGAGCTCCGTCTCATATTCTGGCATGTGGCCATTCTTTCAATACGAGCTGTTGTATCGCCCTGTTGGTGATGATTAGGGACGGACTCCTCGTTCAACCCAGTTAGACCAGTTTTTGAGTCATACCAGATGCCCCAGATCATCGATGCTCTCGACTGTGAGCTCACCCACCTTTCACCGTCCCAGACCCGTTCAGCCCCGGACTCTCACCCAACAATTCAGCCCCCGCCGTTCACATACTAACATGATTCGAGAAGCGTGCTATTCCCCTGAATCGGTCTTGATCATCGTTGACCAAAGACGGTGAAGACCGTGATTATGATGAGGCAAAAACGTTGCAACCCCGTAGCCCGTTGATGTATAAAGTGACAGTTGACACCCTCTCAATCAGCAGCACCCTCTCAACTCATCCACCGGCTTCCATCCGCCTTCGTTCCCTAAAAACAAGAAAACACGCTCATTAGCTTCCATCTTCGATATGCATATCAGAAAGATCTCCGCCATCATCGCCCAGGTCAGCCTGACGTCGGCCAGTGTTCTGGCTGGACACGACATGGGGTAAGCTCATTTACAATCACCACAACACCCGCCACATACTGACCCACCCCCTCAGCAAGCGCGACAGCTGGGAAGACGCCAAAGCATTCGCACTCCCCAAGGCAAGCGAGGCAGCGGCCAAGTTCAACGCCGCCCCCGAGGCCATGATCACCCCCTCCCCTGTTGTTTCGAAGCGCCAGTTCTTCGGCGGCATCCGTCCAGACGCCGAGTTCGAAATCAGCCGCCAGCAAGGTCTCGCCGCTGCCCAGGCCGCCCAGGAGCGCGTCGACAGGCTCACCAATGACTTCAACTCACGCTTCCCTCCCTTCTTTCCCGGGTTCCGCAACAACGGCTACAACAACAAGCGTGGCGACGATATGGACCAGGGCCAGCAGTACAATGATGACCCTGACCGGTGGGATGACAACAATGGGGTTTACCATTCGTATTACTCTGGGGCTGCTGCGGGTTATGCCTCTGCTGCCAACGAAGGTGCTTACAAGGACGCCAACCAGGCTCAGCAGGGCTGGCAGAGTGGTGCGCCTGACTGGCAGGCTCATGCCTCGAGCTGGGCTGGTTATGGGGATTATGCTGCTGCTTCTGCTCATGGTCTGGCTAGTGAGGCGGTTGCTTCTGCGAATGGTGTTGCTGCTACTGCTGCTGCCGGGTATGGTGATGGGGACTGGGAGGGGGATGTTGCTTCTGCGCATGGCGTGGCTAGTGGTTATCAGTCTGAGTATTACCAGGGGGGTGTTGCTAGCCCTTCTGGGGTGCAGCCCACGGCTTCTGCTTCGCATGGTACGCAGATGGTGCAGGTTAATGAGGGGGCGGCTGGGGTGTCGGGGGGGAGGGCGGTGGGGGTCGTTGTTGGGGTGGCGGGGGTTGTTTTTGGGATGTTGTAAGCTCTGGGACGGGGGTCGTTCTGTCAAGGGGAAGAAGAGGAGCTTCGATACCCCTAGGTGGTGGCTTCTCTCTCTCTTTCGTTGGGAGGGGGGTTGGTGGGGGAAGTAGGCAGGTATGTGTGTCCTTCGCTTTTTTCTGTGCTGGATATTTTTTCTCCGTGATCCCAACTGTATAGAAAGTTGGTGCTATAAAGCGGGAAATAAGATTGGGTTTAGATTGGGGTAATAATTGGTGGGGATTTTATAGACTTGTAAAGTAGTTTGGTGGTGAAGAGTAGGGTAGTAACACTTTTGTGTTTCGAATCCTTTCTCATCTGCATCCAACAGTGGTGAAAGAGATCTTCTATGATTGGAGTGTACAAGATATCTTACATCTGTTTCCACCTTATCCAATACCTTTTCTCATTCCTTCTTCTTCTCCTCCTTGGGTCTAAAAGCCAAATGATACGTCCCCAACTCCTCACTAGTAATCTTGCCCGGCGACCTGACCGTCAAATCCTCCCCTTTCATACTCTTTGGAAAAGCAATCACATCCCTTACTGAGTCTGTCCCTGTGAGCACCGCACAGAGCCGATCAAACCCCAACGCGAACCCTGCGTGTGGCGGACACCCCGCTCTTAACGCTTCGAGTAGATGAGAGAATTGCTTGACACCCTTGTCGGACATTTTGAGAATTTCCCTAAAGACATACTCCTGCATTTTCGCCGTGTGGATCCTTCTCGACCCACCACCTAGCTCAACCCCGTTGAGGACGAGGTCGTAGTGGTCTGCCCTTGCGGCTAGGGGGTTGGTAACCATCAGCTCGACGTCTGCGTCGGTTAGGGGGGCAGTGAAGGGGTGGTGTGTTGCGCTGAAGCCTGATCGGCCTCCTTGGCCCGGGTCGGTTTCGGTGTTGGGTGTGAACATGGGGAAGTTTTGGACCCAGAGGAAGTTGAACTGATGAGAGGGGGGGAG